ATTTTGTGTAATTTAATATAAATGGAATCATATGGTGTGTACTCCTTTTTGTCTGGTTTCTTTCACTTAGCACAAACATTTTGATATTCATCCCTGTTGTTGCCTGTGTCAAAAGTCCATTCCATGGTATGATAAACCACAGTGTGTTTATCCATTGATGGACATCTGAGTTGTTTCCGGGTTTTGCTTTCACAAATAAAGCCGCTATGAACCTTCATGTGCAAGAGTTTGTGTGGACAAATGCTTCCATTTATTTTGGGTAAATACCTAGGAGCCAATGACTAGGTCAAATGTAGGCTTATATTTAACTTTTTAAGAAACTACCAAAATATTTTCCGAAGTGGTTATACCATTTTACATTCACACCATCAGTGTAGGAGCATGCCAGGTCCTCGGCATCCTCACATACTTGGTATTTTCCTTTTTCTAAAATTGTAGCCATCCTAGTGATTGTGAGGTATCTCAGTGAGGTTCTGTTTTCCCTGATGACTAAGGATGTGGAGCATCTATTCATGTGCTTGTTTGCCGTATATTAGGGACATAATTATTTAGGATTATTATATCTTCCTCATCAGTTGACTTCCTTTCCATAGTGAGATGACTTTCTTTATACTTGGTGATATTCTTTGCTCTGAAATTTACTTCCGTATTAATATAGCTACTCCAGCTTTCTTTTTTTAAATTTTATTTATTTAATTAATTTTTATTTTTGGCTGTGTTGGCTCTTCATTGCTGTGTGCGGGCTTTCTCTAGTTGCGGTGGGTGGGGGCTATTCTTTGTTGCTGTTCGCGGGCTTCTCATTGCGGTGGCTTCTATTATTGCGGAGCACGGGCTCTAGGCGCGTGGCCTTAAGTAGTTGTGGCTCACGGGCTCTAGAGCACAGGCTCAGTAGTTGTGATGCAGGCCCAGTTGCTCCATGGCATATGGGATCTTCCCGGACCGCGGCTTGAACCCGTGTCCCCTGCATTGGCAGGCGATTCTTAACCACTGTGCCACCAGGGAAGCCCTCCAGCTTTCTTTTGACTAGTGTTAGCATGATTTATTTTTTCTATCCTCTTAACCTGTTTCTGTTTTTATATATAAAGTGCATTTCTTGTACACAGCCTATAATTTGGTTAAAAAATATAATTGGATTAAAAATAATTGCTTTATTTTTCTAACCTGTTGATCTCTTGTCATTTAACTGGGGTGTTTAGACACATTTAATGTACTTATTGATATGGTTAGGTTTGGAACTGTTGTCATTTCTTTTTTATTTGTCTTATCTGTTCTCTGCTCCCCTTTTATTCTTTTTTCTTTATTGTTGTTGTTTTTATAAATTTATTTATTTTTTGGTGCATTGAGTCTTCGTTGTTGGGTCTTCATTGCTGCGCGTGGGCTTTCTCTAGTTGCCGCGAGCGGGGGCTACTCTTCGTTACGGTGCGTGGGCTTCTCATTGCGGTGGCTTCTCTTTTTGCAGAGCTTGGGCTCTAGGCCCATGGGCTTCAATAGTTGTGGCACGTGGGCTCAGTAGTTGTGGCTTGCAGGCTCTAGAGCGCAGACTCAGTAGTTGTGGCGCATGGGCTTAGTTGCTCCGCGGCATGTGGTATCTTCCTGGACCAGGGCTCGAACCCGTGTGCCCTGCATTGGCAGGCGGATTCTTAACCACTGCACCACCAGGGAAGT